ATAACCCGCAAGTTGCTCGTTTTCCTTTCGTTGGGTCGCCATCTATGACCCGCCTGCTCTCTCCGCCAGTAAGACGTCTGTTATGTAGGGGGGCAAATCGTGAATGATTCTTCACTAGGAGCCGCGATCTCTCATCCCATCTGGCCGTCTCAAGGCTGCGATAACGCCTTCTCAAGTGTTCTTATCCTCGTCCATCATGACCGTCGCCAGCCGCCGTTGTGGTCATTGCCATTACCGTTGCCATTAGCGCCTGACGGTTGCCGACGCACATCAATCTGTCCCGTCTTGCGCAAATCTAGTTGTTCCTTGAAGTGGGCTACGGCTTCCCAGGCCACTGCACGATCCCGTTCGCCCCGCTGGAGCAGACTGCGCCCCGAACGCCTACGATGTCGGGGTTGACTCGGGCAAGCTCATCCAGGTTGTCGAGTTTCAGGTGACCGGACAGGGCGGTGCTCACACCGCCTGCTATAGGCTTCCCTGACCATCTCTCTCAAGCGCGAGCTCGGGATAAGTCGAACAGGTTCCGGCCATCTTTGGTCAGTGTGTCTATCAGGACCACCGTCAACACTGCACCAATGCAAGCTCTGACCAGTCCAGGTCCGGTCGACACGTCCTAGACGAGCAAAAACCCTACTGACAAGTGGTTGTCAGCAAAGAGCGAACCAATCAACTTGGTCTCACCTTGCAACTGCCTGCGCAGAGCGCCCCTGGCAGCATTCCACCATTCCAATTCCACCCGCCGAATCGTACTCAGCCTCGCAGAGGCCCACCTTTACCGAGGTCGCATCCAGCATGCCGGCGGCCCGCACCGCCATGGCTACCGTCCCGGCCTGGTTAGGAACTACACCCAAGGTGTAAGCGACTTACGTGCTTTGATGTGAGCCGACTCCGCGACGGCGGGCCTCTCTAACGACAGCTGGGGTGCCCGGAACCCACCAGTGCTTCCTGGAGGTTCTTAACATCGATTATGTCGGCCCCACCCCGGTCGGCTTCCAGAGCCTCCGCCATGTCCTGGACGCTGACCAACAGCATCATTCCCGACTCGGACAAACCGCTTCTGCTGTGCGCACCAATTCAGCCAGGAGCAATTGGGCCGGCCTCTTGGCGGAACTGACTCACTTACAGCAGTCTGAGGCCTTGGTATCAAAGGCATCAATTCCCGCTTAAGTTCGGCTTTTTCATCTTCGGTCAAGGGCATCAGCGGAGGACGGACGTGGCCGCCGGCCATGCCCATAAGCTCGCCCCAGTACTTGCACATGGGGGCAGGAAGGACTCCGCCGGACTTCTTAACCGTGCCGCCCCACCACTTGTCGGAAAGAGCTTTGATGTCCTTCAGATTCTTGTCGTAGAACTCAAGGTCCAGGTCGCCGCGACTGGCCCGGTTTATGAACTGGACATAGTTGTTGCACTCGGGTGTATCAAATCTCCAGTCGGAAGTATTTGCAAACATCACTTGCTGGTTGAAGCCAAGTTCCTTGGCCTTGGGATAAATCCATTCATCAGGGGTACTGATGATGGACTGCTTTCCAATCATCAGGTGAGTCTCAATAGAGATCTGCTGGTTGAAGCTGGCTTCCTTAACCCCAACCACATTCGGAATCTGGCAGAGCCGCTTTAGTCCCTGGGGACTCATTACAATACCAAACTGGGGTGAGTTGTAAAACATGATTGCCATGTTGGTGTGATCGGCAAGAGTCTTGACGTAGTCGTACACAACCTCTTCAGTCTTGGCGACCATGTAAGGGGCAGCCACTACCAGCAGGTCGAAACCGTCGGACTCGGCACGGTCAGCCAAAGCCAGCATATCCCCGACAGATGTGTGGGTTACGTGGGCGGCGATGCCCCATTGACCCGCTGCCTCGTCAGCCACGACATCCATAACCCGGGTTCGTTCTTCAAAGGTCAGGCTCCAAAACTCGCCCATTCCCCAGGTGCAACCACCCCCTCGAGTGCCAAGACTGCGAATGTAACGCATGTTGCGCCGCAGACCTTCCTCATCCAGGCGGTTGTCCGGTGTAAAAGGAGACATTATTGTGGTCCACTGATCTTTCAGGAACCCCCACGCCCACTCCTGCGCCTCATGCTTCTTGTAATTAGCCATCAAACTTCACCTTCCGAGTTTTGCTATCTAGACAGGGAGTCCCATCGGAACAAAGCCCTCAAAGAACAGAAATTATTACTGGGCGAAACTCGTTCCTGTTGGCATCCTGAAACGGGCCAGCCAAATCTTAGCCAGCCATCCAACAACCCATTGTAGGCAACCCTATTCCAAGCGTCAACCTGACGAAATAAGTCGATTATGGGGGACAGAAGAGGCTTGTTTTCATCAAAGGTTTAAACACTTAACTGCCCCCATGACCAATGCTCTGCTAGGCCTCTGGCTGGCAGGTGGGACAGAAGAAAGTGCCGCGCCCCCTCAACCGTATGCCTAATATGGGTGTGCCGCAGCGAGGACAGGGTTCACCTGCTTTCCTTGGAATGGTCCAAGTGTGAAGGGCAGAAGGAGGATCTGGCCAGAGTTCGTCACGCGCCTCGTCGTAGAGGGCAATGGCAGCCTTGAGCACCTTGACGATACTACTACGCAGATTAGCGATCTCCTCTTCGGTTAGACTTCCCGCCTCCCGAACCGGACGGATACCAGAATAATATAGGGACTCGTCAACGTACAAATTTCCAAGCCCGGCGGCCACGGACTGCTCAAGGAGCAGTGCCTTGATGGGAGCACTGCGGCCTTCCAGTTTCGAGGACAGGGCTTCCACGGTAAAGTCATCTGACAAGGGTTCCGGTCCCAACTTGGGCAAGGCATCCTCCAAGGATGTAGTCAACCAGAGGTGCCCGAACTTGCGGGGGTCACGGAACCACAGGACTCTCCCATCATCCAGGTCAAAGGAGTGGCGCACCATAGGATCCAACTCGCGGGAAGAGGGTTGAGCGCTGACTCCCCCCGTCATGCCGAGGTGAATAATGAAAGTGTCCCCGTTATCCAGGGGAAGCAGGATATATTTGCCACGGCGCTGAATGGCTTCTACTCGTCTCGAATGGAGGCCTAGACCAAAGTCCTCGAGAGATGGGACCCTAACAGTCGGGGCCCACCCAATGTGAATCCCGGTAAAGATGCGCCCAATCAATTCCGACCGCGATAGAATACGTCGAGCGTTTTCGACTTCAGGAAGCTCAGGCATCAGCCAATCGCCGCAACAATATCACAGTCAATGTGGCCCGCAGTAAGACATGGGGAATCCAGGAGCATTGGCTACAACCGCTTGACAGCCAGGGTAACTTCCATGCCCTCTATCTTCTGGCTTTCAACACCCTCCGGGTTTTCCAAGGGGCCCGCAACCAGTTGGTCGCTCAGCGTCTCCTGGCTGATGTAGTCGGAGTGGCTCCCCATAACTCGGGCGATTTCTTCGGGTCCTTCATAGTAGGTGGCTATGCGGTCCGTGAGTTCGAAGTTTGCGTTTCGCCTCAGACCCTGGATCCGGTGGGCCAACTCCCGGGCCAAGCCTTCATCGGCCAATTCCGCTGACACCTTGGTGTCGATGGCTACGAGGCACCCCGGTTCTACAGAAACCCAGTAATTCCCAATCTGGTGAATCCCGTGACCGGAAAATTCGCCCTTGTTCCTAGCTTCCGTAGCCGCCCGGACCTGGTCGAAATATCCCTGCGCTTCGCCTTCAAAATCTTCTATGACCGTTAGCTGCTTTATATTGAGCTCTTCCAGGATTTGGGACTGCACTTGCGCAAGGTATTTGGCTTGTCCCCAGACTTTCACCTCAGCAAGGGGCTGACGCACCTTAACCCCGGCCCGGGAGCGGGCTGCCCGCCCCATGCTGGAAACCTGCATTGCAAGGCGGGTGGCTTCCATAAGCTCCCGGTCAATGAGAGCAGGATCCGGCACCGGGTAACTGTCAAGATGGACACTGTCCGGAGCCGAGGAATCAGCCGAGCATACCAGGTTTTGGTAAATTTCCTCGGCCATGAAAGGCGCCAGGGGTGCCATTAGCCTGGACACAGTCACCAGGCAGCGGTGAAGAGTCGCGTAGGCGGAAAGCTTATCAGTATCGTTTTCACTCTTCCAGAACCGACGGCGGCTGCGGCGCACGTACCAATTTGAAAGCTGGTCAATAAACTCCTGTAGCCTGCGCCCCGAGTCGGTGGGATTATAGGCATCCATGTACCCGTCCACCTGCTCAACAAGAACATTCAGCTCTGACAAAATCCAGCGGTCCAGTTCATTCTCGGGCTTCCAGCCCTGGGGCACCTGGTCGGGATGGAAGTTGTCAATGCTGGCATAGTTTGTGAAGAACGAATAGACATTCCACAATGTCAGCAAGACCCGGCGAAGCGTCTCGCTAACGAGCTTGTCGGAGAAGCGCCGAGGCTCTCCAGGGTGGGAAGCCGTAAAGAGGTACCAGCGGAGGGCGTCTGCACCGTGAGCGTCGAGAACCGTATCGGGTCTGACCACGTTTTCCGACGTGCTTGCTCATCTTTTGGCCACGGCTGTCCAGAATCAGACCCAGGCAAATCACGTTACGGTATGAGGGTTCACCCTTCAGGAGTGTTGCCAAGGCATGCAGGCTGTAGAACCAGCCGCGTGTCTGGTCCACCGCCTCGCAAATGTAGTCCGCCGGAAAGCGACCATCTTCGCCGATGTTGGAGTTGTCAAAGGGGTAGTGCCACTGGGCGAAGGGCATGGCCCCGGAATCAAACCAGGCATCCATCACCTCGGGGATACGACGCATCTGTCCGCTGCACCCATCCTGGGAGCAATTAAGCGTCACATCATCCACGAAGGGTCGATGCAGGTCCAAATCGTCAAAAATGCCTTGACTAGCTGAAGATACTTTTTCTTTCAGTTCCTCCAAGCTGCCCACGCAGATCCGGTGGTTACAGGTCTGGCATTGCCAGATTGGAATTGGAGTTCCCCAATACCTTTCCCGGGAAATGGCCCAGTCCACGTTGTTGCGAAGCCATTCGCCAAAACGTCCTTCTCTTATGTAGTCAGGGTACCAATTTATGGAACTGTTTCCCTCCACCAGCCGGTCCTTCTGGGCGGTTTGTGCGTATATACCAGGAAGACTTGGCATAATAGAGGAGGGGCGTATCACAGCGCCAGCAGAAGGGATAGGTGTGACGATAGATGTCCCGATGGTGCAGCAACCCGCGACCATCCAGGTCCTGCATGATTTCTTCGTCGGCCTGTTTAACGAACTTGCCGGAGAAAGCATAGCCGCCCGTTATGTTGCCCTGGAGGTTAACGGGCTGGACAAAGGCTAATTCCTTTTCCCGGCCCAACCCGAGGTCCTCATCACCAAAGGCAGGGGCTATGTGTACAATGCCCGTGCCGTCGTCCATGGAAACAAAATCACCGGACACGACCTTCGGAGAAAAATCTGTCGTCGAAACCAAGTCGATGCTAGTAGTCCCCCCGGGCCCGGTTTCACGCACAAAACGTCGAATCTCGGCCCCAAACTCCGTCGGGTGGTAAAGAGGTTCGTATCCTGTACCAACCAGATCCGATCCCTTGAGCACGGCTACGGAAGCGTACTCTTCCCGCATGTTTGATTCCAGCAGTTGGCTTGCCAGAATCAATCGCTGCTTTTGACCATCATGGTCCAACTCAACCACCGCATACTCTGCATCGGCATCGACTGCCAAAGCGGTGTTGCCCGGCAGGGTCCAGGGAGTGGTGGTCCATGCCAGGAAAAAGGTGGGCACACCTTCTACCTGAGGCAAGCCGTTAACCGGTTCGGATATGCGGAACTTCACAAATACGGAAGGGTCGGGAGTGTTTTCCTGGTATCCCAGCGCAACCTCGTGAGAACTCAGGCTGGTCTCACAACGGGGACAGTGGGGAGTTCCCCGGAGGCCTTCATAAAGAAGGTCCTTATCCCATAGCTGCTTCAGGATCCACCAGCCGGTCTCAATAAAGTCGTTGTGCAGGGTGACGTAGGGATCTTCCATATCGACCCAAAAGCCGATGCGGTCAGTCATTACCTCCCATTCTTTAACGTACCGAAACACACTTTCCCGGCACTGTGCATTGAACTTTTCAATACCGTATTCTTCGATTTCCCGCTTGGAACTGAGTCCGAGTTCCTTTTCTATTTCAAGCTCCACAGGCAAGCCGTGGGTGTCCCAACCACCCTTGCGGATGCACCGATACCCCTTCATAGTCCGGTAGCGGCAAATTACATCCTTAAAGACGCGGGCCAGCACGTGATGAATCCCGGGGCTGCCATTGGCAGTCGGTGGGCCCTCGTAAAGCATGAAAAGGGGTGCATCGGGACGCTCAGATTCAGTACGCCGAAAGACGTCGTTTTCCTTCCAGTACTGAAGAATCCGGGCGTCAAGCTCCGGCATACTTACCCGGCTGGGGACGGCTGTGAACATGGTTGGTTAACCTCTAAATCTGGCGAATGTCGATGGGCATTATACCCCAAACAATGAGGGAACTAGGAGGAAAACGATCCGCACCGGCGAAGTTGTCGGTTTTGCAGGCAAACAGCAGCCTTAAGCCCTGACGAAACTACGCCTTCTCAGGGCCACTCAATTGCTCTTGCTGATTCACACAAATGGCTAATCTCTACGTGTGGAAAGAAACCAACTTTCGTTGGGTCGTTCAAATTGGGCTCACGCAACCGCTACATCCCGGGGCATGGCTACGATTTATCCCAAAGCTGCCAAAAGTGGTGGACAGGCCCGTGGCCTTGTCCAAGGGGATAGGAATTGCGAATGGCTTCGGTTACGTACTCTTTTGCCTGCGCTACCGCCTCTACAACCGATTTCCCCTGAGCCAGTCCTGCAGCGGTGGCGGAAGCAAAGGTGCAACCGGTGCCGTGAGTATTGACCGTATCAAATCGGTCTGAAGTAAACTCTACAAACTCAGTCCCGTCGTAAAAGAGGTCCGTGGCGGGACCTTCACGGTGCCCGCCTTTTACTACCACCGCTCTGGCTCCCATACCGATGATTCTGCGGGCGGCTTCCCTCATATCCTCGTCGGTTTCCACTTTCATTCCGGTAAGGGTTTCTGCCTCGGGCACATTTGGCGTAACGATACAGGCCAAGGGTACCAGGAGAGTGCGGACAGAGTCGACCGCTTCCTGCCTCAATAGCGGGTCTCCGCTCTTTGCTATCATTACTGGGTCAACTACCAGGTTCTTGATTCCGTGTCTGTCCAGTTCTCTCGCAACAACCTCAACTATTTCGGAACTGGAAAGCATGCCGGTCTTGACTGCGTCCACACCTATATCGGAGACCACTGCCTCAATCTGCGCGGCAATCAAATCGATCGGGAGTTCGTGAACGGCCGTAACCGCCACCGTGTTTTGAGCGGTTATGGCGGTCAGCGCCGAGGCGCCGTAAACGCCCAGGGCTGCAAAAGTCTTCAAATCGGCCTGAACACCTGCGCCGCCACCTGAATCGGAGCCGGCAACCGTCATTGCTACTGGCATCGCGCTATTTGCCATCTTAATCCTTTAGCAAACCTGGGAAAGAACTCCCCGGAGTTTGTTTTCTTGCTTAGCCCTATCTCGCGGGACATCTCTCGTGTCCGTCCAAAACACTCTTGGAGGCCAATGACTCGCACAATCCGAAGCAAAAAGGAACCCCTATTCCGGATCTGATTCTGGCAGCCTCCATTCCCCCTCCGGAGCTTCGGCAGTTACCAGGTCAGTGTCGGTACTATCGCCATCCAGATCGGAAAGCGTGTTTAACGCGATGGCTGGCAGGGTCTCAACATGCATCCCTATGCGGTGGCTCATCTCAAGTGAAAGCCTCGCCACGGCATCGTTATCCCTGGCGTCAGCAAGCATGACGAAGTCGTAGCGGCCCAGGACCGCGTATTGGGTCAATATCTCGGCGCCTTCGCAATCACAATCCTGGACAGACTCTACGACCAGATTGGGATTGTCACGAAGACGCCTCTGACCGTTTTCAGTAATATTTCCCATCAAAAAATATAGTGCCATCTTCTCTCACTCGTTTTTTGTTCCGCAATGATGCTTATGCTGACTCAGGCCCCAAGTATATCATCGGTTGAGTAGGCGCCGAATATGGTTGAGAGTAGGAATTGAACGTACTTCACTAGCAAAACAACTATACCCTTTACCAGGAAGCCAAGTCCGAAGCAAAGGAAATTACTTCCCTTTGGGCATTGACATTGCTGGACCTCATTGCTAGAGTATCAAATTACGTTGAGATGTGCCCTTGAATCTAGGGACAAGGATGACTCAGGTATGCCTACAGTAAACCAATTGGTTAGAAAAGGACGCAAGCCCGTACGCAGGGGGACCAAAGCCCCGGCGTTGCACTGGGTTCAAAATTCCTTGCGGAACAGGACCAAATGGGGTGACGGTTGTCCCCAACGGCGCGGAGTGTGCATTCAAGTGCGCACAATGACTCCCAAAAAGCCTAACTCGGCTCTACGCAAAATAGCCAGGGTCCGGTTGACTAACGGAGTTGAGGTGACTGCGTACATTGGTGGTGAAGGACACAACTTGCAAGAACATTCAGTGGTCCTTATAAGAGGCGGGAGGGTGAAAGACCTTCCTGGTGTCCGGTATCACGTAGTACGAAGCGCGTTGGACACCGAAGGCGTCCAGAATCGCCGGCGAGGCCGCAGCAAGTACGGGGCATCAAGGCCATAATTAAATAGTATCTGGCCTGACTGCAAAGTAGGCTAGTAGCCCCAAAAGGCAACAGTAGACCCTCTAAGTTCACTTCTTGGACAGGGGGAAAGGGAATCCTGTCCAAAAGTGGAATTTTGTTTTGTATTCATGTATTAGGGTGCAGGCAGTATGTCAAGAAGAAGAAGGGCCATCCCTCGGATAATACCCGAAGACTCCCGATACAATAGTGTTCCTCTGGCGCGGTTTATTAACCGGGTGATGACTCGTGGCAAAAAGACCACCGCCCAACGGGTAGTTTATGGTGCTCTAGAACTGGTGCAGGACGAGTCGCGGCGGGATCCTATGGAAATTTTTGAACAAGCCCTTAAGAACGCAACTCCCCTGGTTGAAGTTAAACCCCGCCGTATCGGCGGGGCTACTTATCAGGTGCCCACAGAGTTAAGAGCCAATCGCAGCGAAGCGTTGGCCATGCGGTGGCTGATTCGCGGTGCGCGGGGACGGGCAGGCATGCCCATGCGTCGCGGACTCGCCAATGAGTTAATGGATGCAGCGCGTGGTGAGGGTTCGGCGGTGCGCCGCCGAGAGGAATTGCACCGAATGGCGGAGGCCAACCGGGCTTTTGTTCATTATCGCAGGTAGCTTTAGACGTGCTGTAGGTTTGGGAATTCGAGGTGCCCAATAAATGGTTTCTGCTTACCCAATAGAAAAGATTCGTAACATCGGCTTCATTGCCCACATAGACGCGGGAAAGACCACTGTCACAGAACGGGTGCTTTATTTGACTGGCCGCATTCACAAAGTTGGCGGCGTTGATGAGGGCACTACGGCTATGGACTATATGCCCCAGGAACGAGAGCGGGGCATAACGATTACTGCAGCCGCAACCACCGCTGAATGGAAAGAGAACCGGGTCAATATTATTGATACCCCGGGGCATGTGGATTTTACTGCTGAAGTAGAGCGCAGCTTGCGGGTTCTGGACGGGGGTATTGTTGTCCTGGATGCCGTCGCCGGGGTCCAGTCCCAGTCGGAAACGGTTTGGCGCCAGGCCGACACTTATATGGTACCCCGCATTTGCTTCGTCAATAAGATGGACCGTGTGGGCGCCAGTTTTTCGCGAACTATAGAATCCATTAAGCGTCGTCTAAAGGCTAATCCTGTACCGGTGCAGTTACCCATGGGCGAGGAAGACGGCTTTATAGGGGTAATAGACCTGCTGGGAGGCAGGGCTTCCGTCTACCCGCGGGGGCGCGATGCAAGTGGCGGCCTCACTCCCCCTGAACAAATACCAGTACCCGATGAATACCAGGAGGCCTACGAAGAGCAACGGCAGGCCATGATCGAAAAGATCGTGGAAACTGACGAGGCTCTGCTTATCCAGTATTTGGAAGGTGAGGAGCTAAAGGAAGAAGACCTTCGTTCCGCTCTTCGGGCAGCTACCATCCATCGCCAACTGGTTCCCGTGCTTTGTGGCAGCGCTATATCCGGAAAGGGTGTCCACCCGCTTCTGGACGCCATTGTAGAACTTCTCCCCTCTCCGGCAGATGTCCCACCTGTTGAAGGCATCGACCCCAAGACTGAAGAGCCTCACCTTCGCTTCCCGGATGATAAGGCACCCTTATCAGCTTTGGCATTCAAAGTGATAACAGACCCTTACGTTGGTCGCTTGGTGTTCCTTAGAATCTATTCTGGCTCGATCAAGGCTGGCGGGTCGGTCTTGAATGTTAGCAAGAATCAGAGAGAGCGAATGGGTCGGCTATTGCACATGCATGCCAACCATCGGGAAGAACTGGAGGTCATAGGAGCAGGAAATATCTGTGCAGCCGTTGGCCTGAAGAATACCTTTACCGGTGATACCATTTGCACTGCAGACAGCGCCTTGATCCTGGAACCCCCGAAGTTCCCCGAACCCGTCGTCTCCGTCGCCATAGAACCCAATTCGAGAGCGGATCAGGACCGACTCTCCGACGCCCTCCGCAAGCTGTCCGACGAGGATCCTACCTTCGTAGTCAGGTTCAACGACGAGACGGCCCAGACCGTTATATCCGGCATGGGAGAACTCCATTTGGAAGTTCTGGTGGATCGAATGCGCCGCGAATTTTCCGTGGAAGCCAATGTTCGGCAGCCCTCGCGTGTCTTACAGAGAAACGCTGACCAAGGCGATTCGCAGTGAGGGCCGATTCGTGCGGCAGTCGGGAGGTCACGGCCAGTTCGGGCACGTGTGGGTGGAAATTGAGCCGCAGGAGCCGGGAACCGGAAACAGTTTGTCAATGGAATAACGGGCGGCGTTATTCCCAGGGAGTATATTCCGCGGTCGAAAACGGGGTCAAGCAGGCCATGGACAACGGACCGGTAGGCGGATATCCCCTGGTGGATTTGAAGGTAACTCTTTTCGACGGCAGTTATCATAATGTGGACTCTTCCGAAATGGCTTTCCGGAGTGCTGGCATGTTAGCATCGGGGAGGCGCGTAAAGCAGGGACCAGTTCTCTGGAGCGATGCGTTAGAGATTCAAGGTAGATGGAAGTGGTTACACCTAGTGAATTTCTTAGCGAGGTTTTGGGGGATTTAGGCACTAGGCGAGCCCAGATCCGAAACATTGAGGGTGCGGAAGATATCCAAACCGCCCGCGCCATGATTCCCTTGGGCGAGACCTTCTCATATACCACTGCCCTTCGCTCAATTACGCGTGGACGCGCCACATTTACCATGGAATTCAAGTATCATGAACAGGTACCAGAGAATCTGGTGAGAACCCTGGTAAACGTTTAGGCAGATAATTGAGCCGGATTCTTAATTTAGGTAAAGGCTTTTTATGGTAACTCGGCAAAAAGTTAGAATCATCTTGAATTCCTTCGAGCACAAGGTGTTGGATAGTTCAACCGAACAGATAGTGGAAACGGCAGAACGCACCGGCGCACGCATAGCTGGTCCGGTTCCTCTGCCCACCCATATCCGCAGGTTCTGTGTTATTCGGGGTCCTCACGTCGATAAGGACTCAAGGGAGCACTTTGAAATCCGGACCACATCATTATATAACCGCAGCTATTGACATTCTGGAACCAACTTCCAAGACCATAGACTCCCTGACCCGGCTCAACCTGCCGGCGGGCGTCGACATTTCCATCAAGTTGTAATCGCGGATCAAGCTGCGATAACCCAAATTATCAGGAGTCCATAATGCTCCGCGGATACCTAGGCAGTTGGCATGAGCCGGATATTTCAGGCAGATGGTCGCGTCGTCCCGGTCACTATGATCCAAGCCGGTCCTTGTTCAGTCACCCAGATCAAGACCAATGAGACCGATGGCTACCAGGCAGTTCAACTGGGATTTGATTCGGTCAAAAAGCTCAACAAGCCAGAAACCGGACACCTTAAGGGGACTCCACTTGCTCGTCATCTTAGAGAAGTAAAGGCAGACGACATCGGCGAGTTTAAACTGGGCCAGCAAGTGAAGGTGGATATATTTGAACCGGGCGAGATAGTCGACGTCATCGGGAAGTCCAAAGGTAGAGGATTTGCTGGTGTTATGAAGCGCCACGGTTTTGCTGGAGGGCCCCGGACCCACGGTCAATCCGACCGAGCCCGTGCCCCGGGTTCTATCGGTGGCGGCACCACACCTGGCAGAGTGTACAAGGGCTTGAAGATAGGCCGGTCACATGGGAAATACTCGCATCACGGTCAAGAATCTAGAGGTTGTCAAGGTGGATGCGGAACGTAATCTTCTCTTTGTGAAAGGCGGAGTGCCCGGTGCCCCGAATGGGCTGTTGATGATTCGCAGAACAGGCAAGCGTGTTTCCCGAGCTAACTAGGACTTTCAAAGGATACGGAAATGGAACTCCCCGTAATTGACAGGAATGGACAAACGGTTAGCCATGTGGAAGTGGACGACGCCGTTTTCGATGTACCGATGAACCATCCTCTGGTTCACCAAGTGGTTGTGATTTACCAGGCCAACAAACGGCAGGGAACCCACGACACCAAGACCAGGGGCCAAGTCTCCGGTGGCGGTCGCAAGCCTTGGATACAAAAGCATACGGGTCGGGCTCGGCAAGGCAGCATAAGGTCGCCGCAGTGGAGACATGGTGGCGTTGTTTTTGGCCCTCACCCCAGGGACTATCGTATGGACTTGCCCAAGCGCATGCGGCGGTTAGCCCTCAAGTGTGCGCTGTCGGAGAAAATCCGAACGAACAGTCTCATCTGCATTGAAAACCTGGACGGCCTCGATGGCAAGACCAAGTCAATGGTTAACCTGATTGAATCGCTGGGGCTCTCGGGTAGGGCGTTGGTGGTTACTGAAAGTTCGAATCCCAACGTAGTTCAGGCAGGCAGAAACCTGAAGACCGTTTGGACATTGCCGGTTAACCAGTTGAATGCTCACGAACTCCTGCGCCGGGGCACGGTTCTCATCACGGTGGATGCACTCAAGAAGGGCGAAGCTCTTTGGTCTTTAGAACCGGTGCGCCTGCCCAGGATGGTTCGCGCTGGCGCCGATGAGACCCCAAGTGAGGAAGAAGCTTAGATGAATATCTATCAGGTATTGTTAAAGCCAACCATCACTGAAAAGAGTACACTGCAACAGGAGTCTGGACGGTACACGTTTCAGGTGGCGCTTGATGCCAACAAAGGCTTGGTGAAAGAGGCAGTTGAAAGGAATTTTGGCGTTACCGTTTTGGCTGTCAATATTACGATGCTACGGGGCAAGCAAAAGCGGTATGGCCCCAAGATCAAGAAGACTCCGGATACCAAGAAGGCCGTGGTCACGCTCAAGCCCGGCGACCGCATCAACCTGGTGGAGGGTCTCTAGGTTGGGCAGAGCAGCACGCAAAGGTAGTAAGGTTGGACTAATATGCCATTAAAGAATCTGAAACCCATAACGCCCGGTACTCGGAATGCCGTCAGGGCATCCTTCGAAGAGATAACTCGGACCAACCCGGAAAAATCCCTGCTGACTCCACTTGCGAAGCATGCTGGCCGAAACAACCAGGGCCGCATAACAGTCCGCTCTCGGGGAGGCGGAAGTCGCCGGATGTACCGCGTCATTGACTTCAAGAGACGCAAAGAAGGGGTGCCCGGACACGTAGTATCAATCGAGTACGATCCAAACCGGACAACCCGTATTGCGTTGATCTACTATGCGGACGGAGAAAAGAGCTACATTCTGGCTCCTCTCGGACTGGAAGTGGATAACTGGGTGCAAGCGGGCCCCAGCGCCGAGATAAGTCCTGGCAATGCGCTGCCGTTGCGGAATATACCGACCGGTACCGTTATCCATAATCTGGAATTAACCCCCGGCCGGGGTGGCCAACTGGTTCGCAGCGCCGGAGTGGGAGCTCAGGTGTTATCAAGGGAGGGTGAGTACGTATTGATCCGCTTGCCTTCGGGCGAGATGCGGAGAGTCTTGCTGAACTGTCGGGCCAGTATAGGGCAATTGTCCAACCCTGACCACAAGAACGAAAGTTTGGGGAAGGCTGGAGCCAGCCGACATCGGGGCAGGCGTCCTCAGGTAAGAGGAGTTGCCAAAAATCCGGTCGACCATCCTCACGGCGGTGGCGAGGGGCGTTCCCCCATTGGAATGCCGGGACCTAAGTCCCCCACTGGCAAGCCCACCTTGGGGCACAAGACTCGAAGAAAGAAGAAGACTACCGGAAAATTTGTAGTACGGGGCAGGCGACGATAGTTTATGTCCAGATCAATCAAGAAGGGGCCATACGTACACCCCAAATTAATGAAGAAAGTTGACGCGGTTCAGCGGTCGGGTGCGCCCACGGTAATCCGTACCTGGTCCCGGGCATCGATGATAATGCCGGAAATGGTTGGAATAACTCTGGGAGTTCATGACGGACGGCGACATATTCCCGTATTTGTTACTGAGAACATGGTGGGGCACCGTTTAGGCGAATTTGCCCCAACCCGCACGTATAGGGGACATGTCTCCCGTTCCGAGCGCACCAGCCGGGTGAGGTGAATCATATGCCGCCGGTAAAAGCAGTTGCGAAACAGATTGGCGCGTCCCAGAAGCGCCTCAAGCCCATTCTGGATCTGGTTCGAGGCCAACAGGTGGAAGATGCGCTTAACACTTTGAGCCTGTTGCCTTCCCCCTGGGCGAAGACCGTTCACAAGGTTGTTCAATCCGCTGCTTCCAATGCGGAAAACAATATGTTCATGGAGCGGGACAACTTGCAGATTGTGCGGATTACCGCGGATCCTGCCAAGTCTATCAAGCGTTTCCGGCCAAGGGCCCGCGGCCGTATCGGAAGAATAACGAAACGCTCCAGCCACATTACCGTAGTCGTAGACGAAATCGGAAGGGAGGCCTAACCTATGGGCCACAAAACACATCCTTACGGGTTCCGGTTGGGCATCATCAAGGACTGGAAGACCCATTGGTACGCCAACAATGCTACCGGTTATCGCACCCTGGTATTGGAAGACCTGAAGCTTCGCAATACCGTCCATGCCGAGTACCGTGGCTTTTCCGATGCAGGTATTTCACGAGTGGAAATAGACCGAGGTGCCCAAGACACGGTGATCAATATTCACTCCGCACGTCCGGGCATCCTTATAGGCAGAGACGGTGAAAGGGTTAAGAACCTGCGCAGCAAGCTCGAGGGTATAACACGACGCCGGGTGCAGCTCAATATTGTTGAGATTGAGCAGCCTGAGCTGGATCCTTATTTGGTAGGTCGCAATATTGCCGACCAGCTACAGAGAAGGGTTGCCTATCGACGAGCCATGCGGCAAGCAGCACAGCGGGCCATGCAGGCAGGTGCCCAGGGCATTAAGATCATCACAAAGGGTCGTATCTCCGGTGCAGAAATCGCCCGTGTTGAAAAGCTGATGATGGGTCGGGTCCCGCTCCACACTCTCCGGGCCGATATAGACTACTCATTGGCCGAAGCCGCAACCGCTATGGGCCGGATCGGCATTAAGGTGTGGATTTACAAGGGAGAGATCCTGCCTCCCGCTCCGGAAATAGTTGAGGAATTGGAAACTATAGAAGTCAGGGTAGAATCTGGGCCTGACGATGAAGACTTGACCGAGGCCATAGCCGACGACGTAATCGGCGGGGTGGCAATCAGGGGGGCTTTCGATGTTGCAACCTAAGCGAACCAAATACCGCAAGATGGGCCGTGGGCGCCGCAAGGGTATGGCCACCACAGGCAACAGTGTTCATTTTGGCGAATATGGCCTCAAGGCCATGGGCGCAGAATGGATTAGTGCTCGCCAGATCGAGTCGGCACGTGTAGCCATAACCCGCCACCTGCAAAGGGGTGGACAGGTGTGGATTCGGGTTTTTCCCGACAAGCCGGTTAGCAAGAAGCCAGCCGAAGTGCGAATGGGCGGGGGCAAAGCGGCGAACGACCATTGGGTCGCCGTGGTAAAGCCCGGACGCATACTGTTCGAGGTAGGCGGTGTGCCAGGCAACCAGGCAGTGGAGGCGTTGCGTCTTGCCTCTCACAAACTACCTATCCCCACCAAGACTGTGCAGCGGGACCAAGTGGCTGCCAGTCTGGGCAGTAACTAACTTAAGGGACAGAAATAGGTATGGACATTCAGGAAATTCGTTCCTTGACCAAAGAACAACTAGGTGAAGAGTTGAGCAAGACCTACCGGGAGTTGATGAATCTTCGCTTCCGGGCGGCCACCAATCAGTTGGTCGATACTAACCAGCCAAGGAAAATCCGGAAAGACGTCGCCCGCCTTCTTACGGTCATGCGCGAGCGCAACATCACGGTGAATTAGACATGTCGATAGAAATGCGAAAGATCCGCACGGGCGAAGTAATTCGGACCAGCATGGACCGGACTGCGGTAGTAGAATTGGTGTGGAAGCAGCGTCATCGGCTTTATCGAAAGCAGATGCGCCGGGTTACACGTTTTTACGTCCACGATCCCCTTAACCAGTGTCGCATTGGGGACACGGTACGAATCCAGGAAACTCGCCCGATTTCCAAGACCAAGCACTGGCGCCTGATGGCAATTCTCCAGCGCCGTCAGGTGGCAGAAGTCCAGCCAATTGAACTGGAAACGGACCTAGACGCTGAAATCGCTGGCACTGCGCCAGAAGACAGTGCGGAGCATACACCCGCGAATGATGAAGGGGATACCGAAGAATGATCCAGACTTATACTCGCCTAAACGTTGCAGATAACAGCGGCGCCAAGTTGATAAGGCTGATAAATATTCCTGGCTCCAGCCGGCGCAAGTATGCCAAGGTTGGCGATGTAATCGTTTGTACCGTAAGGGAAGCAGTGCCCAATTCGCCGGTACGCAAGGGGACCGTCGTTAAGGCGGTTGTTGTTCGCCAGGCCCAGGCCCTGCTTCGACCTGACGGGACCTACATCAAGTTTGACGATAACGCCGCTGTGATTATCCAGGACAACCTTATGCCTCGAGGGACGCGTATATTTGGGCCAGTAGCTCGGGAACTTCGCGAGAAGGGCTTTATGCGCATAGTTTCCCTGGCGCCGGAGGTGGTCTAATGAATATTCGTGCCGGGGACAGCGTGCTGGTCATCGCTGGCAAGGAAAAGGGCAAGAGCGGCAGAGTGGAACGCCAAATCGTGTCTGAAGATCGAGTAGTGGTAGAAGGCGTCAACATTATCACTCGCCACATCAAGCCTAGGCCGGGATTGCGCCAGGCGGGTCGAATTCAGAGAGAAGCTCCGATTCATATTTCCAATGTGATGTTAATTTGTAATAAGTGCAGCAAGACCATCAGGCCCACGTCCGTATCATTGGAGACCGGTCAGCGGGTCAGGGGCTGCCCGAAGTGCAAGGAAGTGATAGACGATGCCCGATAATGAAGAAGTAGAACAGCAGGCAGAGGCCTCGGCTGAGGCTACTGAGCAGGCCCCCCGGCGGCAGCGTCAAACCCGCGGACGCCGCGCGGCAGGAGCTACGGCAACGGCTGAACAGGAGCTTGCAGAAACCGCTGGAGCTCCATACCCCAGGTTGCTGGATAGTTATCGGAATGAAATAGTGCCAGCAATGATGTCGGAGTTTGGGTTCACTAATTCGATGCGGGTACCGCGAATTGAGAAGATCGTGGTAAACATAGGGCTGGGAGAAGCGCTTACCAACGGTCGAGCTATGGAAGCCGCCACCCGCGATTTGACCACTATTTCCGGTCAGAAGCCTATAATCACTCGTGCCAGAAAATCAATTGCTGGTTTTAAGCTGCGGGCCGGTAACCCCATAGGGACCTGCGTCACTCTCCGCGGTGCCCGCATGTATCATTTCCTTGACCGGCTTATCAATACTGCCCTTCCCCGTATTCGTGACTTTCGGGGCATTTCCAGGCGGGGCTTCGATGGTCGGGGCAACTTCTCCATAGGCATTCGTGAGCAGATAATCTTTCCCGAGATAGATTACAACCAGATAGACCGTTTTCGTGGCCTGCAGGTAACTATAATCACCTCGGCCCAGAACGATGCCGAATCCATACGAATGCTGGAAATGTTCGGCATGCCCTTTGTGCGCGAGAGCCAAAGCTAACTGTTAGATTAGGGACTGAGGAGATACCTTGGCAAAGACTTCAATGATCCAGAAGTGGATGCGGGAACCCAAGTATCCCGTGCGCAAGTACAATCGGTGCAACAGGTGTGGCAGGCCACGGGCCTACATTCGGTACTTTGGCATTTGTCGTATTTGTTTTCGGCAGTTGGCCCTGACCGGCGATCTGCCAGGAATCCGCAAGGCGAGTTGGTAATAGCCTCTGTAAGACCTCAAGTTTTATAGCTTTTTTGATTTCAGGAGATTAACGGAAGATGCCGGTTAACGACCCAGTAGCAGACATGCTGACCCGGATTCGTAACGGGATTCACGCCCGCCATGAATCAGTATTGGTGCCTCATTCCAAGCTCAAGGCTGCGGTGGCCACAATTCTGAAAGAACAGGGTTATATCAGGGACTATGATATGCCCAGAGGCCACCAGTTTCCCACTATGCGAGTGCATCTGGCCTATCGGACCGGCAGGGAACCGGTTATCAGTGGACTCAAGCGCGTGAGCAAGCCCGGTCTCCGGGTTTACGTCGGGAAGGGCGAGATACCCAGAGTATTCGGCGGGCTAGGTGTGGCCATATTATCCACCTCAAGAGGTGTTATGGGCGGGCGCCAGGCCTGGCGACTCGGCATTGGAGGAGAATTACTCTGTTATGTCTGGTAACACGCTGGAAAGAGAACAAACTGAGGCAGGACCTCTCGAGCAATTCTGATCTGTTGGCCAAGCCCCGACCCATTCTCTGTGGGATGTGGAGTGGAGGTCATACGAGTGAGCGGTACAGGGTCCCCAGGGGTAACCTGACCCAGAATTATCACCCCGAAGTAAAGGTTCCGGTAGAAGATGGCAATGTGCTGGTGGAACGCATTTCCGAAAGGAAGTTTCATCACTCTCTCCATGGCCTGACTCGAAGCCTCATCGCCAATGCCATCGTGGGCGTCACAGACGGTTACACCAAGACACTGGAATTAATGGGTGTCGGCTACCGGGTACAACAGTCAGGTGAGGGTATTGTCCTTAATGTGGGTTTCAGCCATCCGGTGGAAATCCAGCCACCTAGGGGCGTAACATGGAGGTTGGGATCACCGCAGCCATGTCCGTGGTATCGACACGCATCGAAGGTCGGAGAATGCAGCTCAGGTAGGAAATGTGCGCCCGCCCAATGCCGAAACACGGAAAAGGGATTCGGTATCAGGGAGAAATTCTCCATTTCAAGCCCGCAAAGCGCAGCCTCGACAAGGCCTAACCGTTCCGCTACTCGACGAATTTACGGAGTATTAATAGGAAATGCCCAGAGACAGAGGAAGAAGCCCGACAATAAATGGACGTACGGCACCGCCGGTACGCAGGAGGTCTCCGGCAATCCGGATCCGGCCTAGGCTCTGTGTGTTTCGTAGCTAGGCGTCTCCATCTCTGCGCAGATAATTGACGCACATGGTAGGCAAGACTATAGTTGCGTCGCTCAGCCAAGATGCCATACCATTACTTGAGGGGTCACCAATTCGGCCCAAGACGCTATCGTCAGCGGTGGGCCAGTGCTGGCCAACGTGTCCTTGGAACAAGGGATTACCAGGTTGTCATCGACCGGGTGCGGTACAAGGATCACGGCACGGGTTAAGGCTCTGGCCGAAGCCAGCACGAGGGATGGTCTCTTCAGTTCTAATGGTGACTACTGCACAAAGGCCTCGTCCCATCGATCGACCACCACGCGCGCGCGAAGCGGATCCTTCGGTTCATCACCGAAAGTAGTATGTTATACCACGCCGAATCGACCAGGTAGTACAGGGTGGCCGAAGCGCTGCGATTCAACGCATTGGTAGAGTGGGCGGACGGCGATGGTAACGTTGGAGCGGCACTGGAAAGCGTGTCATTCCCTGACGCCGTGGAG